TCCCCTTTCCTCCTTGATTGCATTCCAATTGGGCAGGAACCCATCACCTATTGTTGCTAGGCTCTATTTTTCACCTTTTAATAGAGAATATGGGTCACTGAAACTCCTCGGTTCTCTCCGCCGACGCCTTTATTTGCTTTGATCAAAAAAAAAAAAAAGAAATAAAACTCCATGTGTCGACCTTTCTATTCATCACTCACACTTTCCCTATGTCTTCCACTGTGGACTTTCATTCTTCCTTTTCGACACTGGGAGTTCCAACCATCGATCTAACTGAGGATCACCCGTTGAAGGCCCTGGAGAGCCAAACCTCGGGATCCTCTCGGACTGTTCCTATTCGGAACGGTCTACCTACCCCTCCTCACGATATGACCGGCGTCGCCTACAATGCCATGCCACCTATCGCATATGGGGGCAAACCGAACGGGGTGCCCTCTCATATATATGGCCATTCCCGTCCCCAGTTCGATTCCGTTTCTTCCATGGCCATGAAACCGCAAAGCCACACCAAAGATGCCGTCACGGAACCAACTGCTCAGAAGAGGTCGACTGGTACAACTGGATCGCAACTCCGCATTCCTTCATCCATCAACAACAGCAAGGGCAGTCTGGCCGAGTTTGCAGCTCAGGTGAGAATTCCCGGATCTACAAAAGTGAGATGGCATGAGCTAACCTTCTTCATTTATAGATGACCTGTCTATTCTGGTTCGAAAAGACCTCGAAACTGCAAGCCATCGAAGACCGGCAACCACAAGTTCCTTCTCTGGTCGCCGAGGCTGTACCGACTGTCGGATTTCAGAAATGGGTTGCCACGATTCTTTCCACTACTCAAGTCAGCCAGAATGTCATTCTCCTGGCCCTTCTATTCATCTACCGCCTGAAGAAGTTCAACTCTGGGGTCAAGGGCAAGAAAGGGAGTGAGTTCCGGTTGATGACGGTTGCGCTGATGCTCGGCAATAAATGTGAGTGTTCTTATCGGGCTCACCGCCCTTGATTTGATTGGACAAAATGGCTGACTCATCCATAGACCTCGACGATAACACTTACACCAATAAGACGTGGGCTGAGGTATCAGGCATTGCGGTGCACGAAATTCACATCATGGAGGTTGAGTTTTTGAGCAACATTCGCTACGATCTGTTTGCCTCCGAGACCGAATGGTCCCGGTGGCACACCAAGCTGGGTCTCTTCGCAGACTACTTCAACCAGGCCTCGATGCTACCCGTCGAGCCCACCATGCTCCGTGTTTCGCCTCCCCGCGTGCAATCGCAGTCGCCATCGGCCAAGTTGCCGTCGCCTGGCACCGATGTCTTCCGATCCCAGCAGCCCAATTATTATATGCCACCCAATGGATTGCCATATTCACTACCACCACAACAGCCACAACACATGGGCGGCGAGGCTGCGATGGGAGGCTCTCGGAAACGAAGCCGCGATGAGAACGATGCGCTTCACCCGACCAAGCGGATTGCGCTTTCTGCTGCCACATCTGCTCCTTCGCTGACAGTCCCGGTGACTGCCATGAATGCGATGCCCACCCTCCCACCCGTCCTGACTCCTACTTCTGCCCCGGTGGCACCGATGAACGTGTCTCGTCTTCCGCCACCTCACCATCCGCCTTCCCTTCCCACTTCCTATCCTGCGCCCCAGACGCTTCCTCCTACAGCACCTTCCCAGCTTCCAGCCATTATGCCGCCTATCTACAATCGACCGGCGAACTGGCAGCAGATGCCTCCTCTCTCCGTTCCCCCTATGCCATCTAGCATGTACAACACCCCTTCACTGCCAGAACTAGGCCGGCACCACCAGAGCCCATTCGGCGTGTCTTCTGCCACCGTCTCGCCCGCTGGTTCAGCCTATTCTGTCCACACCCCGCAGACGCACCTTTCTCCGTCCTTCTTTCTCGCCAACCGCAATTCGCCTTACCGGCCGGTGCGTTCCGTCAACACCTTGCTGATTCCACCTCCGTCAAGCTCTGTACAGCAGCAGCGCAATGTTCCGTTTGACCACATGCACTACCAGCCGCTTGGAAAGGGTAACACTTCTCGCAAGACCGGCTTGCTGCCTTACATCCAACCTGACGCGTGGAGCCAAGCTCCTTACCTGCACCCTATCTACCCACCAGCCGGTTACTCTGGTTGAAGCATTCTGTACCCCTGTTTTTACCACTCTCATCTCCTAAGTTTATGACTTCACCGCGCCACGACCCGTCACACGAGAAAAAAAACTATCTCATTCGCTGTACACTTTTTTTCTCCTTCTATTGCTTGTCTTCCTTTTCCGACTGCACAGACTTCTTCCTTTTCACGATTGTATCTGGCATTTTTTCGGCGCTCCGTTCTAGAAGGAAATCGGTTTTCGCCTCCCCCGCAGACGAGATTAACCTCGGGGATGGTATCTGCGGCGTTATAACTTTAATTTCGCCCATGTCCGTCGAATGTGCTTGAAAGCACATCGACAGTGTACTGCTCCATCGCATTTTGCATACATACGGCGTTTTACATTAGCATACTTAGCTTTAGCTCTACAGCATATGAATCTAGATTTATCAACTGATAATTTTCTTTCGCTTGAAACCTCTATTTTCATACATTATTACTTAGTGTCGTAGTTGATGTAGCTAACTGTATCAATAGCCAAGGGTTCAAGTTGAAGACGTACAGTACCGCATTTACAACCGTTTGATTCACACAATAAACTGAAAAATGCAATGTAACATGTGCCTATTTAATGATCGAATGGCTAATATCCTTGAAAGAAACGAGCAACACAGCCCTCGGTGCTCAGGTGTCGACTGTACATAACGTAGTTATTCATTCAGGACCGGAGTCGGATTAAACATAACCCGTCCCGACAGAGATCTCGAAACTCACCACCAAACCCGCGAATCCAATACCAGCGAGTCCATACCCACAACCACAAACAATGTCTCCCCGGCTGATGGGGCTGCCTACGCAGCTGGCACGATTTTCCGCTCGGCCATTCCAACAGGCCTCCCCACTCGCCTTCCTCCTCCCGCAATCCCAGCAAACCCGCAATGCTTCCATTCTAGCCTCCCTCTCCGACAACCCGACTGCCTACCACAAGCGCATCCGTCGAGGCCGCGGTCCCGCTTCAGGCAAGGGTAAGACCTCCGGTCGCGGTCACAAGGGTCAAGGTCAGCACGGCAAAGTCCCAGCAGGCTTCAATGGTGGCCAGACCAAGGATATCATTGTGCACGGCGAGCGCGGCGGCGTCAACATGTAAGCCGTCCTCTCTTGTCAAAAACACCCCAATCCCCAAGGCACATCTCTAATCAATTCCTCCTTCTCGGATCCAGCTTCTCCGTCGACATGGCAACCGTCAACCTCGACCGTCTCCAATACTGGATCGACCAAGGCCGCATCAACCCCAAACTCCCGATCACAATGAAAGAGCTCTACAAGAGCGGGTGCATCAGTCGACCCATCGACGGCCTTAAGATCCTCGGTGACGGCGCCGAAACCCTGAAACAACCAATCCACGTCGTTGCCTCGCGCGTTTCCTCCTCCGCTATCGCCGCCATCGAAGGCGCCGGCGGCTCAGTGACTGCCCGCTACTACACTCGCCCGTCCATCCGCCGTATCCTGGACGGCGAGACGCACAGCTTCCTGTCTGCTGCGTGGGCCCGCGCTAGTGGCTCCGAGCAGCTCTACAAACTCGCCAAGGTTCGGCCTACGGCGGGTTGGATGAAGTGGAGCACTGTGGTCAACAACCAGCAGAAGAAGTTCCGACTGCCGGATCCGACGAAGCGCAAAGATATTGAGTATTATCGTGATCCTGCGCATCGGGGATACCTTTCGCATCTGCTTAAGCCGCTTGAGGGACCTAGTTTGTTCTTCCGCTCTTCCGAGGAGAGAAAGTCTACTGCTGGTGTTAAGAAGGAGAAGGTCCTGCCTGAGAATAGGCTTTGGTAGAGTTGAGAGGGTTTGAAGAGAATCTCATACTTGATCTCGATTGGTTTGCTTGTTCGGAATTGTTTTTTTAAGGCTGGCTTGGACTGGTCTGCTGTATATGTATAAATATGTTCTGTTGGATATGCTAGGCTTTGCAATTAGATGCTTCTCGGCCTTTTTTTTTTTCTTTTCTATGCTCCATCTTAAATGCACCCCTGGTTATACATGCTAGAGCCGTATGTTCGTATTATGCTTTGTACTTCAGGGATTCCACTGTCGGGCCTGTGGAACACCCTACATGTACTCCGTACTATTATCTCGATTCATGGTACTTTTATGGCTAATTATTATCCTTCTAGCTATAGCACCGAGAATAAATCTAGAACGTTCCCACATTCTTTAGCTACCTCGCAAGCGAAGTTTTTGTCAACCGCAACCCTGGGTAACGAAATAGCCTAATCATTTTGCTTTGTACCGTACTCAGGACAGGCCAGCCACCCATATAAAAATATCACCAAATTGAGCAGAGAAGATAAAGCAAGATCAGTAACGACGAATCAAAGACCCGCAGTTATAAAAGTACACCCGTAAAAGCAAATGACCAAGCTAGGTTGGCCAAAGAACAGAAGTGACGAATGCTCATGCAACATAAGACCAAATAAACAATAAAAAAAAATGAAGCGCCTCGCCTGCTGTAACAATAAATCATAATCGTCCGTCTTATGCCAGAACCAAACCTAACCAAAAATCAAACATCAAAACTCGAGAATGCGCTGCGGGGGGACGATATTGAGAATAGATTGTGGAAAAATAAAAAAAAGAAATGGCACATGTTGCCAATCTTGAGCCGAAGCAAAGCAAAAAAAAAGGAATAAAATAAATAAAGCAAAATGGAGGGTATCATAGTGATTTCAAAGGGCCCCAGGAGTATTGGCGCTTGTTGAATTTTCAGCGCAGGAAAAGAGAGCCATCACATCGTAAGAAATTTGACGTTAAAGCGTTGAAATAATATCATTTGCCTGGTCCGGGTGTAAGGGCAGAATATGGGATTGTTAATCACCGAATGGAAGAAAAGATGAGCTTTGCTCATAGTCTCCATACAGTATCGGGTGAGGGCTCAGCTGTCTCATGAACCTCTCGTAGCCAGGACGAAGCTAGTACATCGCGAATAGCCCAACGCTTGTTGGGGTCCATTTCAAGACACCCGCGGATTAAGTCGAGGGCGTACTGGCGATCTTGGCGAAGGTGGCCGTCTATAGTGCCACCGAACACGGCATTATAATCCCAGGTGCCGCTGAGAATATTTGCTTGGATGCGAGGGGTAAAGGAGTCTTGGAAAGGCCGTGAGCCGACAATAACGGTATAGACGATAACACCAAAGGCCCACATATCGACTGAAGGGTGCACAACACCGCCTACTGATTGAAGCAGTTCAGGCGATGCGTATTCCAGACTACCAGCAACACTGGTACTGGATCCTGCAGGGCCCATTTGCTGAGGCGGCGGACGGTCGGCGGCATCCTCGTAGGGATCGGGAGAGTCTCCACCGTTGTCGATGGACATCCATTCCGCCATTCCGAAATCACACAGTACCAGTGTCGAAGATGTCGTGCCGTCAGCAGACTCAATAGGGTCGAGCAAACAGTTCTCTAACTTGATGTCTCGATGAACCACGCGGGCATCTTCGTGTAGGTAACGAATTGCACAGGCTAGTTGGTATGCATATTTCTTTGCTAATTCCGTATCTAGACCGGTCCGATTTTGGCGGACTAGGTCGAAGAGAGTGCCACCAATAGCAAGTTTGGTGAAGCAAAACGTGGCGTAATCTGTTTCGTACACGGCATCGAGCGTCAATACATGCGGATGGCTGAGGTACCGCCAGACTCGCACTTCGTGGTCGAACTCGGCCTGCACTTCGTCGTTTTCGCGCTCACTTCGCCCTGTTATCTGCTTTTTCACGATCTTCACGGCAAGTCTCTTAGTTTCACCGTGCTTTTCGGCTTTATAGGCCTCTTTCACCGTACTGAAACCCCCAAACCCGATTTGCTTTCCGAGAACATAGTCGTCTCCAACCATCTGGCCTTCGTCATCGGGCTGGGGAGCAGGCTCTTCAACTGTGTTCCACATGGAAAGAAACATACTGGCGGGCGACTTGCCACTCGAGTTTGTCGATCGTCGAGAACTATGCCGGGTGGAGTTTCGAAGACTGCTGCTGCGATCTAGAGTAGAGCTGCGCTTGCTTCCGAAGGGGGTTGCGATCCCTCCAGACCAAGAGCTGCAGCGGTCTTCGGGCGATGCAAAGGATTGAGTTGGCGATGGCACGCAGAATGGCGACAGCAACGTGTGGCTAGAGTCATCAGGGGGGGGTTCGTACCTCGTCCGTGACCGGAGATACTGTCGACTGCGATGTCAGGGACGTCGGACGATCAAGCTCTGAGCCCGCCATCGAGCCATTCTCAGATCTCGCAAATGGCCGGGCTCGGGATTCCCCGGTCGGAAAAGTCCGATCCAGAGATCGTTTGGGACTCCAGTTCGGAGACTGGTTCGATTCGACATGATCATCATCTTGCGAAAGAGCATTTCGGAGTCCAGAGCTACGAGACTCAAATTTTTGTGGTGGACGGTTCTTCACATCTCCCATCGACAGTGGCTCTTCCAGTGGAATTTGGTTGCCAGAGTCCACAGAGACCTTTGGGTTGAAAGAGATTGAGGGTCGACGAGTGTGGAGATAGCTGTCGAGAGGGGATCCCTGCACATCATCAGGTTTGTGCGGGAAGTTGTCGGCATCGTGTTCGTGATGCTGCTCACCGGGGCGAGGGACGGATATGGGAGGAGTCGCTGAGTGTAGATCACTTAACAAACTGCGGTCTTCATCAGTATCGTGGCGACGCGCATAATCATGAGATTGATTGGTGTGATCGCTCTCGATACCATCGCCCACTGTTGTCGCCTTCCTCCCGGCATTTTCATTCGCCCATTTGGGCTTGTTCCGCTCGTGAAACTGCGTTTCAATCCGTAAACCTGCCAATCCACTTGCCAATCCGGCCCTCTCGCTATGCTCCATGCCCTAATGAAGAGCACAATGCGAAAATTGTCGTTTTGTCAGCCAGTGATAGGCTCGCAGTAGGGTTATATAGCCCCCTGCTTGGCTTTTTTGATATGCTTTTTGATGGCTGTTGAAGATGATGATTGTGGGGTGATAGCGTCAGAAGTGGAGACAGAACGGTTTGATATAGTGGTGATCTAAGGGAAGACGTAATTGAGGAGGTTTTAGAGTGTAATCAAATAAAAAGTTATCGATATGAAACACAGTGGGTACAAACAAAGGTAGTAAGAGAGGAATTGAAAGTGAGGTATTCGTCAAGTACGTAGTCCAGTACTGGGAGGGGGGAGAAAACCGGGGAAATCCGGACGATGACGAGAATTGCAAATCACATGACTTAAGGTCAACCCTGGCCCTAATCTCCCTACATGGTCAGGTGTACAGCGGGAAATAGGGGCATGATAGGTATTTATTACCTTGATTGTTCTCCACAGTCTGCTGTAGTCTGTATAAAGTGCCGAGGAGATATTATCTATACTCAACTGTCTAGGGGAAAAAAAGTCCTATCTATTTATAACAGCATAGTCGACATACAAAGGTCTATACCATAGAAGCTCCGACCAGTCGGCCATTATTGCGTGCCCGCACATGGTCTCAGGGGTCAAGCCATAGTTTTAACCGCGCGCAAGGGGCGCTTGTTTGGGAATACCTCCTTTTGGCTTTTGGAGATGTGAAAGGAGTTATCATTCAGACTCGACGTCGCCTTGGCAGACACCTCTTTGTTATTTTTGTTTTCCTTCTCTTTTTCTCCTTGTCGCTCTGGCAGTAATTTCTTTCTCCTTGTGTCGACCTCCGTGCTGGACCGAAGTGCAGACCAGCCCCCACCATTCTCATTCAAGGCACTGTCTCTCATTCAGACCAATTCACCGAGTGCTCGCGACCCCCAGTCAACTTTTTTCTCCCTATCTAGCTTTCGTGGATTACTTGTCTACATGAAATTCAGAGTCTCGCACATTGCTTTTGTCTCGCGCTTGTCTTCTGACTTCCATATTCCTGGGTCGCTAGTCACTCCTTGCGCCCGCGACTTGTTTCAATCCCATTGCTTTTGATACCACGCTCATTTACACTGCAACATGACTAGACCACAGATGATCCGAGCTGGTAGGTGAAATGCTTCTGTGCGGGGCCAATTGCTTCGAAGTTGAAGGTGTTGACCGCCACCTCTAGATACCTTGGACCTTCAAGATCACGATACTCCTTCCGCCAAAGATCACACCAAACAACCGGAACATCCAGATCCTCTTGGGAGCGGCCGGCCTGCTCCCCATCAAGAACTTTCTATTCGTCATGCCGAACAAGATTCGCAAACGGAGATGAAGGGCGGACCGGACAAAAATCACGAATACCGCGGTGACAAGCATGTATATCGGGAACAAGATAACGAGGAAGATGATGAGGATGAAAATCACTACGGCCACGAAGATAGCGACCTGGCAGACGGTGAAAGCGATGATATGATGGACGATGATATGGACAAAATCTCCAGTTCGCCGTCTATCGATGATGGTATGGATTCTCGGGGATGATAGGCATTAATCGGGCGATGGCTGATGTTATACAGAGGATATCGATTTTGAGTTTGTATATGCGCTTCACAACTTTGTCGCAACGGTTGATGGGCAAGCAAATGCCGCAAAGGGTGATACTATGGTTCTTCTCGACGACAGCAACAGTTACTGGTGGCTCGTGCGCGTGGTGAAGGATGGCAGCATCGGTTACCTCCCTGCGGAACACATCGAAACACCAACCGAAAGGCTTGCCAGATTGAATAAACACAGAAACGTGGATCTGTCTGCGACCATGTTGGGTGACAATAACGAAAAATCGAAGAATCCTTTGAAAAAGGCCATGCGCCGTCGGAATGCGAAGACCGTCAACTTCGGAGCCCCAACGTACATTGACGCCTCCGACGTCGACTACTCAACAGACGATGATTCCGAACATGGTGACTTCTTCAACGACGACGAGACTCTGGATGGGGAAGATGAAGATGTGCAAGAGCAAACGGAAGATATTGTTGTGGAACCTCTTAGGCCCAAAGCCCAGAAAGAAACCCCCACAGAGCATGCCGATGCCAACGGCGTGGAGAAACAAGATCCGCAGCGTTCAAGCTCTGATCGACGCCCGTCTAGTGAAGAGTTCTTTGAGGCCGAAGGTAGACGCACTCAACTCAACTGCCCTCGGATCGAATTTGGAACTCACTCTCACATAATAGAACCCACTGTCAGTAGATCCAGAAATGGCACTGTACGGAACACCGATTCCTTCTTCAAAGACGACACTGCCGAGCCCAAGAAGATTTCTCTCACGCCAAATCTCTTGCGCGATATTCGCGATGAGAACAGCACAAGCACATTGGCTGAGTGGAAAGAGGTATGTTCCCGTTCCCCATCATGGGTTTATCTAAAGAACAGTTGGCTGACGTTTCGGTGAAGCCTACTCGTGGAAGCTTTGAATCCATCGAAAAGGGCTCTAACTCACAGGACAAAACTAAAGAGAAAGAGGAGAAGAAGCGAAAAGACAAGAAACCGGGAATGCTCAGCGGGTTATTCAAGCGCAAGAAGAGCAAAGATGATATTGACGACCCAGAGAAGTCTCCTGCAGAGTCGGCATTCCGCACATCACCCCAACCCAAGACCTCAATGGAGTCTATCTCATCAAAGTCTGTGTCCCCCGAACAACAGCGGCCCTCCAAGCCCCAGAAAATATCAAACAACAAGCTACACAAGCAGCCCCCGGGAACCATGAAGATTGATCCAGTCCTTGACCCTGTGATGGCCGAGTTCGCCAGGGGCGACGAGGCCATTAACCAGAGCCAGGGTAACCAGGGCATTCGACAGGTGCCACTGCAAGAAGAAAGAGAAAGCAGCTACGAAGACTGTGAAATTGTGTTACAATCGCCTATTAGCCAATCGAGTCCTTCCAATGATCCCTTTGCTACTCCACTCGAGTCCATGGACCCCCCGGAGTCGCCTGTTGATCGACCATCCAGCGAAGCTCAATGGAGAGGACCCATTGATCCAGACCGAACAACGGCTGGGCCCGCGTCCGTTACATCTCCCCCCCAGAAATTCGTCCCTAGACAGGGGGCTAGAGATGAGTCGGAGTCCCCTGTCAATATTTCTCCCGTGGAGGCTTATTCCCCCATGAGCGCACGTGGCTCAACAAATAATGCCTCTCCTCGAGAAGTGCGCTCTCTCTCGCCACCATCTCCGCCGTCATCACCCGGGCAGGACGCTAATTACCCCAAGGGTAGCACGGCTGCTACTGCCTCGCTCGACGCCCTTTCGGTGGACACCCCGACGTGGAGCGATTCCAGTCTACGGTCATATATGGATGAAGAAAACGACATTCGGGACTTGTTTATTATTGTCCATGACAAATCAAATGTACCTCCCGCTGGCCCTGACCACCCCATCACCGGCCGTCTGTTCAAGGAGGAAAGCAAGAGACTCAAGGAGATGAACAGTCAGCTTGATGATATGCTTGTGAACTGGATGGCGCAGCGGGCTAACAGTTCAGCCTCAACTCGTGGCATCCAGAGTCCACCTGTATAAACAAGGTGTGTATGAATCTCTCGGACCGAAACCATGTTTTGATAGATGGTCCGCCTTACATGGCGATGAAGGCCATGTTTTTGAATGTGCTGGGCGCATCACTTTTGGCCGACCCTTATTCTTTCTTTTCACCTTTACTTTTTCCTTTCCGTGTTGTGTCTTGATGCTACTGTTTGGCGCAAATTCTTGTTCTCCATTTTTCCATCGCCCCAGAGAGCGCGGTGACCCTGAACGTCCAACGGCTAGCTCTATTCACCATGCTTTTCATCTTTTTTCTTCGATTTTCACCGGAATACCCCGACTCATCCCTGCTCAGTTTCGTTTCTTTCACATCTTGTCATTCAAGGCCAAGCTGGCATATCTCAATACAACCTCAGTTGCCAAATATATTTTTTCTAGAAAAATAAAGAAATATTAGAAGGCGCACCCACTATATGCAGGTAAGCAGATGATCAATATCTAATTGGAGAGAAGGAGCATTCCGAAGATCCTGCAGAAGATCGAAAGTCGTGCGGGCAGGTCAGCCGCACCATGCATAGGGCCCCCACAAGTCATCTGTCAGACATACATAAACCCTTTTCCTGTTTCCCGTTCTTGATGTGACAGAATTTCCTTGACGTATTCGTCGCATCACCATGGCAGATCCATACAACGCTTACAGCTCGCACGCAACACCTACACCGAGCGGGGTTGGCTACTATCCCCCAGAAGACCAGTCTCAGTACCCAGCCTATGGCCACCAGCAGCCATATGGAAACCAAGAACCATACCATAACCCTGGACCAGATCAATACAATCCTGGACCAGAGCCTTACCAGCCCATGCAAACCCCAAACCAAGCCTACGCTCCACAGCAAAGTTCATATCATCTTGCGCCCGAGCCATATGGATCCCCCACGGAGAGAAGCTATACGCCGGCAGGGCAGCCAGAATACCTTGGGCCAGTGACTCCAACAGGATACGAACATGTGCAAGACAAAATCCCCGGGAATGCAGGATACTAGTGAGTGGGCGATACATACCCAGCTCTGAGAACCAACACTAACACCGAGCCCTAGCAATGATCATCCAGCTGGCCAACCGCAGTACTCACCCCCCGAAAGCCCCCACCGTCCCGCCGTGTATGTATCGGAGCCAGAAGATTCACAGCGCAGTGGCATGGTCGAACAGCGCTCCAATACAGACACCGACACTGACCGCGGTATGGACCGTGGGCTTGGGGGTTCTCTCGCTGGCGGCGTGGCGGGCTATTACCTCGGTCATAAAAAAGAACATGGCTTACTGGGTGCTATTGGTGGCGCTCTGCTCGGAAACTTCCTGGAAGACAAGGTGAAGGAACACAAGAAGAGTGACGATGATAGTGAACATGAGCATGGGGACGGTCACAGTGATCATCATCACCATCGCCGCCGCCGCCGCCACCGTCACCACCACCACCATGGCCACCGGAGCCATTCGGGGCATTCGGGGCACAGTAGTCATAGCGGTCATAGCGGGTACTCTCATAGCCGGCACTCTCATAGTTCTCATCATAGCCATTCAAGGCACCGCGATGAGGATGAATACTGAGTGTACCTCTATTTCGGATAGCCTTCTTTTGCCTCCGGTTTCCTTTATCTCCCTTTTTCTTTTAACGTGCTACAATTCTAGCCTTATGGATAGAATATGAGTTATGTGCTTTCTTTTGCCCAAGACTCGATATCGGTTGAGAGACAGCATTCTTATCTTGATGTATTTCTTTTCGTTCATCTCTGGAGACTCCGGTTGATAACACGTTGTATACTCTCCCATGCAGACTCCGTTTCGACATGTGTGACATGAATCAAGACCTGGTAGTTGATTATCTTTTACCTAATTCGACATAAGTAATGAGAGAATGAATGTTGATTTGCAAACGAAATACCCAGGTGAGCAATCCATGTCCCAGTCCTCTAGGGCTCCTGGTCACGACCTCATAACGCTCACTTGAGTTAAGAATGTATATCCAGGATATACTTGAAATTGGCGTGATGACCAGGGTCGTCTACACCAGCCTCTTTCTCCCTTTCAGTGCTGGATTGGTTATCTTCTCTTTCGTTTCTTATTTCGTCCGATGGTAAGAAAAGCCATAGGTATGCTAGAGAGTCCATGTCACTAATCTTCATCCAATGCCTTGGTCTCAGGTTCGGAGACACGCCGGGAGACTGGGTTCCGGGCCCGCTTGCGCGGAGGCATCTCGTGACCTTGAACATCGGAGGGAGCAACTTCCTCCGCCTGTGTTAAACCGGCAGTGATGGGGCCAGTTACTCACTTTCGCAGCTTCGGGCTGAGTTTATCAAGATCATCAGCCATCTCTTCAAGCAATTCTATAGCCCTCCAAAGCTTTTTCTTTACTTGTTCCCTGTTTGGCGCAGAGTTGTTGGGTGTGCGCAATAGGCGTTGTAGATCCGGCCGCTGTGAAGGACGGCGAGCAATAAATCTTAAAGGCCAGTTGCGGCCAACCTGGACCTCGATTCCATCGCGAGCAAGTATTCGATTTGCCTCGTCTTCTACCATGCCAAGGGTAGCAGGAGTAAAAGCAGTCTCAAGGGAGACCATCCACTGATCCACTTCGTTCTCTTGAACAGGATTAAGAACTTTGCCGGACCCTGTGGGAGGACCGGTGCCGAGGATTCGTCCGCGAAGTAGATGGTACAAAATGTTGAATTCCCTGGCCAAGGCTGCGACTTTCGCTTTATCACGCTCTTGGTATGATTTTATGGCATTTCCAATGCGAGTTTCTCTCTCTATGCAGAATTTAGCTATGGTGGTGAGAGAGGTATAAATGAGGGGATACATATGTACATAATTAATGTTTACTGGTGCGCACTTGGCTTGGTAGTGATTCCTACGTCATATCCACTGGTTGTGATTCTCTACCTACGTGTACGCTGTGTATTCTTTTTATATTGAATCTATAGTTAGCTTATTCTTCTTCCTTTTCTGATATCCCTAGCCTATAGATGTCTATATAGACACGCCTTGAGATGTGCCGTTTCGACTTCTAAGCTTTGGAGGTTCCAAGGATGTAATATCTTGGAGTTTGCATGAAAGATTTGACTAATGTTTAAGATAACCGGTGCATGGCCTATATCGTACAACATAATGATCTCGGGTGTTACCTAAATACAGCATCCCTGCATGTCCAATCTGGGAAGTTCGAAGCCCTGATACGCCCATTTATGCTTATCGCATGACTCATCAGATCTGCCGGCAACGAACTCGATAAGGCGATTCAGCTCTCGTGACACTTCAGAATGACCTCTGGGGGGGGCGCGGTTCTCTCTTCCTGCTTTTGTTCCTTTACTTATATCCCTTTCCAAGCTTGCTTACTCTATTAGCTCCATTAGACATAGAGTATAAAGTCTCTCTCACCTTATTTACATCGGATTCGCTTATCGCCATTACCCCATACTTTGATGCCCGCCCTATACGAGTCACTACCTGAGGCTCTACCAAGCCATATTATCTACAACTCAAGACACCTCTATCGATAGACAATGTCTCCTGCGTTATTACAATACCTCCTTTCGGAGGCCCTTCCTGATCACTGTGAACCGACCTCGCCCTTCCTGACCGCCGTCTCCTCCCATCTCCACATCTGCATCCCCACTCCTCTCGCGGCGATCTCTTCCGTTCTTGGGACCCTCAGCATTGTCTCATGGCTCTTCGCACAACTACCCCAGATTTATAAGAACTTCCAAGTGCAATCAACATCAGGGTTATCGATATTTTTCCTGATAATCTGGTGCCTTGGCGATGCGAGCAACCTCGTTGGAGCGTTATACACCCGGCAGGCAGGGTGGCAGGTGGTGATTGCCAGTTATTATGTCTTCGTTGATATCACTCTGGTATTCCAGTTTTTCTGGTACACCCATTACAAAGCTCGCCGAAATGATTCGTATAGCGACCTGTCACACACGCATGGCTCGGCTCCTCGAGAAATCATTCAAGGTGTACCTCCTCCAGGCCACGAATCGGATTATCAGACCCCAGCTCCCGTAGACATGGGCAATAAGCCTGCTGAGGCCAAAGATATGGCCTTCCCGGCCGGGTCAGTACTCAACTCGACCCATGGGCAACCAGTCTCATACTCAAACGAGAAATTGAGCTCCTCGCGTCGATCCGTGAGGATGAGCAGCAGCGCGCAGAGCCCGCCATTCGCACTGCCTCGGACAATGCTCATGGCATCACTCCTTTGTGCCGTGCTCGCGAACGCTGCTCCCACCGATAAGCCTCACCCGCCCATTTCTGAGGTACCGCGGGAGGCCGTTTTTGAGATCATCGGCCGCGTCTTTTCCTGGATGTCAACAATCCTGTATCTCGGCTCGCGCCCCCCACAGCTATACAAAAACTATCAGCGCAAGAGCACCGATGGCCTCTCCCCGTTGCTTTTCATGGCTGCCTTCTGTGGGAACCTGTTCTATTCCAGCTCGTTGCTCACCAACCCGAACGCTTGGTCCGATTTCTCCCCATACGGCGGCGGCGGCTGGGCCGATAACCACGGCAATGACCGATTAGAATGGATCGGACGCGCTACCCCGTTCTTCCTAGGTGCCTTCGGTGTCTTGGGACTGGATGGGTTCATGGGTGTTCAGTTCCTCATGTATGGCGACGGTCCAGAGCACGAGGATGACGAGAGTTTCATCAGCGGTGATGGGGATGACCAAAAGCGCGGTCGCGGTCGGTGGAGACGTGTTCGCGGCTGGATGCGTGGCTGGATCCCCTCTTCTTCGCCTCGGAGGGAATCCGGGGAAGATTCGGCCCCGCAAGAGGGACAGGCTCTGTTGGGCGCAGAGCGCGGCCGATACGGCACTGTCTGACCGTGGCTGTTTATATGCGCCTATCTTCTTTTGTTTCTTGCCCACGTCTCTTGCGTAAGGTAGGTATGATATACATGATGTGATGACTTCAGAGCTTTATTTTCTTCTTTTAGCATTTCCTTTCCTGTATTTTGTCATTCGGATACATTGTGTGATTAGGCACATCAAGCGTTCGCCTTCATCCGCTCTCTAACCGACCTGTTGTGTTTCCTGGGCGTTTTTGGAATTGGATAGCATATATAGGGATTCATTTTATACGAGATCTCGCATTCCTTTCGGGTTTTTTCTTGTGCGATGCATTAAATTTTATGGTATGTCTTGGATGTCTCGATTACCTATGGGCCATAGCGCATTACAAGAATAGACGAGGATATTGAAAAACCCATTCCATTTTAGGAAAAAGTTAGGAAAGCCCGGCTACCGGTATAGGTAGCGCCGGGAGATCAAAACGTGGACAGGCCGGCTCCCGCCCTCGCCCCATTGAGTTCATGTCAGTTTTTTTCTCTCGTGAATTTCGTGGACATCCTGTGATGTAAGCAGTGTGATATGAGCAATATGGCGTCTAGCAAGGTTCGATTTCTCCGAGAACCTGAGACAAAGACAGCAAGAGACAGCAAGCCATGCCAAGCCCTAAGTGGAAGAAACAACACACAACCCTCCAATCTCCCCATTCTAGGCGCTCATTTGATGTCCTAATCCCTCAATTAGGTTGGTCAACGTTATGCAGGAACTAATTGCCATGTCTCGAACGAGACAATTCTCGCTTCAAATTGCCAGATTATCCTCCGAGTGGAGTAGCGCCACAAGATGGCGATTCCATTCACGCATCTTATCTCCCAAGAGCCCTGGGGAAACTATGTAAAGATCTGGGCTGACAAGCCTGCGATCTTCTTATTTTGGTTTACTCGCTCATCCAGAATTACGTTTTTTCGCCGACCCTTTGTGGTGTTTACTCACCCGTCCATTCGTCTATTAGACTTTACACAAAAATATGATCCAAAGCCATTTGATGTGGCTTGCCCATATTATTTCAGCGGTTGCTCTCACTATAACCGCGACTGCTCAGACGACTTCCTCTCCAGCCCCGCTCTTGGGCTGTGATGAGAACTTGATTAAGGATGTGGCTTTTGAAACTATTAATCTCGATGGCAGTTTGTGGACTATCCTGCCACCCAAGGGTGGTGTCGCCGTCGATGGATACCTGTTCGCCTACCTAGCCATATATGCAGACCAAAGTTTCTTGTAGAGTATGAACTAACTTGCGTTTTATGGTAGGCATTTGAGTGCCGAAGCTATCCAATCGCAGACCCTGCTGACCCAGGCAATCACCGGCGCCGTTGCGGAAGAAAGTTAAACTATCTCTTTCGACTATCGCCAGACAGCTGGCACAGTTGTTGATAGGACGGCTTGTGCCGTGAATATCCTACTCAATGGAGCAGATTTCGGCAGTAGTACTCTCACGGTCGGTTCCTGGAAGACCATCTCCAAGCAATGGACACCTGCTAGCTCAGAAGTCGATATGCTCATATTAATTGAATGCTCTGGTGCAAAGATCTCGGGCACAACAGTGGATTTGAACAATATCTCGTTCGAGAAGATCTGTAGCTCATCCACCTCGAGCAGCGCATCGGTCCCTACCAAGACCCCATCGGGCTCGCCTGTTGTCGACAGCACTCCGCTCGCTTCTTCTGCCTCCTCATCTGGTCATTCCAGCTCAGAGGGATCGGGGTCTTCTTCACACATCTCGCCAGCCTCGCCAAGTAGCACCGGCCCTATCACCTTGACAATTACTATTACCGGGCCCGCAAACCCCACCTCCAGCGGTGCCATCGCATCCACCGCGCTGACAATCCCTACGCCAGATATGACAACCTCTGCTGTCTTCACCACCCGCACTGCGACTATCACAGCCTGTCCCTCGACTGTCATTGAGTGCCCAGCCACCGACAAGACAACTCGCATTACAACTGAGACTATCCTCGTCTCGATCACCGCCTGCCCTGTTGAAGACGCAACGACCACTACTAAGGGACCCAGCCCTACCAGTTCATCTGGGAGTGGCAGCGGCAACGACTACATTATCTCAACAATCCTCTCCACCAGAACCGTAGCCCTAACCCAATGCCCGGCAACAGTGACCGGCTGCCCAGCCCGCGACCAGACAACACACGTCACGATCGAGACCGTCGTTACTGGGACCACTGCGGTCCCCATCAACACTGCCCTGTCCACCACAACACCTGGCGCAGCGCACACATCGTTTATTATTGCTGGCACAGGCACCACTTTTACCGAGGGAGGTATGTTAGTGAGACTGGTGTTTCTCACGTTGACGGAAATGAAAATGGTTCCGGCTCTGGCTCAGACGTCTCCACTGGAAACGATGCCGGCCACCTATCCAACCTACCCAGCATCACACGCACTTGCGTCCACTCAGCCACGGCCAAGGCTTCGTCCATCACAGCCTCCTCTCCTACTAGCGCGGGTGCAGGCGCAGGTTCTGGTTCTACTACCGACAGCAGCAGCCCAGCAAGTACGTCGCCCGTGTTCAACGGTGCTTCGTCGTTCATTGTTTCCGGTGCTGTGTCTGCTCTTGGTGTTATTGCGGCTCTCGCGCTTTTCCCTTGATCACATCACTATTTCCTTTGGATATTTTGGATATGGATTATAATGGGATCTTTGCATTTTTTTCGAGGATCGAGTCTAGAAGCCATAAAATACATTCATTAAAGCTTCTATATTTACCTTCACGTAGAAACGCGATTGGGCTTTCCAAGTTCCAAACAAAGACATGAACAATCCTTCGAGTCAGTTCACATAGCCCCATTCAATAGCACTCTTTTATGGTCTTTTTCTTTTTCTTTTTCATTGTTTTACTTTTGCTTTTGCAAATGCGTAGGATTTTTGCAGGTTAGTGACATCCCTCTACTTTTGCTAGAAAGGTTATATGCATCTGCCTAATTGGTTATTCTCTTCATTGGGGGCTTGTCACAGCCTAGAGGCAGTGTAGTGAACCCTCCAACCTGTGAATCTTGTTTTTTTCCCTACAATATATGTTTCTGATCCAGACATGACCTGCCCGTCTGACATAACAGCATAAAGGGTCACCTGGGCATATCATCATACTGGCAGACCCAGCCACCTATATACTTCAGCTACATATGATATCAGTATAAGAACAAAACAAAACGGGAACAGCGAGAAACAAGAAATTATAGACCACGATTATGACAAATGCTAGACTTTTGCAGTGGTCATCAAATTTACTAATCTTGATTATAGGAAGTACTTGTGTCCTCTTATTCGCCTCCCCCACCCTCAGTAAAAAGGAGGGGTGTTTTGCCGCCCGAGATTTCCGAATTTCCCCTTGGTTTACGGGGTCAAGAGGGAATTCCAGTTTGGGAGTTTTTCACCTCGAATCATATGGTGCAGCTTGGAAATATGGAGATGTTTCAGAGAAAAAGCTGCCGAATCTAGCCGGTCGGGCAGCGTTGGTATCCAGTTTTTTTTCCCCTTCCTTTTTTTCTGTACGTTCAGCTGTCTTTATTATCCATATGAACTAGAACCATCACATTGGTAGTGCAAGGTATGTAGGCAGGTACTATATGTATAGGTTGTGGTACCTCGAAAGAATCGGAACATCGAGAATGGAGCATGGCACGAGGTCCGAGGGACTCTTTTTTTTTCTAGAATTTATTACGCACGGGCTTCGGTGCCTTTAAGTATTTTAAGTATTTAAAGATTAATTTCTAGACCCTCTGAGAGATGAGTTCAATATCTGCGGGGACTTTTCTTTTGGCTCGAAGATGTATGCGCCTTTTAAGCAGATAGGCACATAAATATAGAAGGGGTTGTCAGCGCTTCCGATGAATACTTGCCAAGACACTATCTTTACTTCCAGGAGTAAGTAGGGTAAGTACATGTATGGAGTACTTGCACCCATGCAGCATGACGCTACTGCAGGGATCAACATCCAGGTCCTTCTCCGAAGGCGGAGTTGTCTACGGTGAGTCAGAGCGGTGCCTCTCTACGTGGCCATTTAAGCAGTGTCTGACATGTCAGAGAGACTAGATACAAGAGAGAGGGAGAGTACGGAGTACTACAACATAGATGGAGTGCTTGTTCGATGCATCTCTGTTGCCCTTGCTTGGTCGTACGGGGTAATGGGCGCGTGTGATCGTAGAGGGATAGTATTGTTGTAAATGACCCGGCGACAGCGGCAAGGATGTTGAATATAATGCCTACAACATACTTTGTAGGCACTCTGTACTCCGTAGTTTAGAATATAGTTTGTTCATGGGAAGTGGGTACATATGGAAGAGGCCGGATGAGCACTGCTGCAGGTAGCATTGTACGTAGGGGGTAGACTGAGCAACGGAAGGAATGCGACCAATGTTTAGTTGTTTTTTTTATATAGATATAATAGGCCATTTAGCATAGGATATTTCACTTACAATTTATTTACTATTCGCTATTATTATTAGTTTTTTTTTAAAAAATGGATATGCTTGAGCTTACTAAGGGTTAAATTGCAACCTTTTTTTAGTTTTTTTTTTTTAAAGCTAAATAGTTACAGTACGGACTACTGAGAACCAGTGACACGGGCGTTGCATCACCGGATTTGCCTTAGGGGTCTAGGGCCCTTTTATATGTTACAATACAATTACACTGTGCACGTTCCAAACTGGGAACACCGGTTGGATTTTGATGGAAAAAAAGTGAAAAAAAGGAGGAAGAAAAGAAGAAAAGAAGAAAAGAAGGAAAGAAGAAAAGGCAAAAGCAGAGGCAAAAAGAAGGAAAACCACAATCGAATCTGCTAAATGCTTTAATCATTCAATGTCACGATATACATAGGTAGCCTAAATTCATAGAGTGCGTAACAACTTTTTAAATTTAGAATTTCCTGTGGGCCGAGTGACTCCTTCCCTGTATACCAAATACATGTAAAATTACCGGGGCAACCCAACGGTTCTTTTCCCACACAACGCCCCCTATACACTTTTCTTCTCTTCATCCTTCTTCTCAACCTCTTTTTTTGTATCAATCTCTCCGTGTCAACGAGCTTTTCACTAAGTGTCGTTGATCACCTCATTCTGTGAGGTTTGCGTCTACGTGGAAATCTTTTTTTTTCCACTCTTCGTTCTCCGAGCGCGTTCAGTTCACCCTGCTACGTGGGCTCTTCCACTTCTCTTCGACCTGGTTATTCGCCTCTCGAGCATTTTGAATTGACTGTACTGTGATCTATCACCTTCCCTCCAGGCTGCGTCATTTCGACACTCCAAACGAGGATTGTGCCTTCATCGTTCATCACGTTCCTTCCAATTCTCATTTACCCGTCATTTGTCCCTTGGATCATTGAACGAACCTCGATGTCATTCAACTAGAGGCTGTTCCTAGGAATACGACAGAGCGACCCGCTCGCCGAGCACCGCTCTTCTCCTTTCCCCCCCCCCCAGAATCAGGATCTGGTGGAGTAGACGGTGCGTATCCTTATTTTCTTCAACTCTTGTCTCTCGGTCCATCTGGCTTTTTTTGCCTACCCCGGAGGCCTTGTGTACTGATTCCTAGCTTTCCCCTGGCAACAGAATAAGTCTAGCTCCCCGTCCTGAACTGGCAACCTCCCCTCCCCTCAAGATGCCGTCCTTCTTCGTCCCAGGTCACCATGGCCTGCCTACACCTCCCCATGTCAACGGTGGTCGTATGGAAGACCCATCATTCTACCCGGTTGGTCACGCAGGATTTCCTCCTCGCTACCACCAAAGCGGCAATGAGTTCATCGAACAGTACTCACAGTCTCTGTGCTACGCCAAACCCACTTCGATGAATCACCACCAGTCCGCCCACCCGATGAGCACTGCTCGCGATCATCACATGATGAACCAGCAGCCTATGTTCAACCCCATGGTTGGCACTGGATTGCCCTCAATCCGCAGCAACGTCCAACTTCCGCCCATGGATGCTACGATTCCGCCCCAATATCGCCGACAAGAAGCCCCGATGCAACAGCAGCCCGAACAACCCCGTAAGGAGGAGAAGGCTACTGGAGGTGTCGCAGCTCACCTGGATTATGAGATGGATCGCATGTCCGACTTTGTGGCAGAGATGGCTCAGGGAATGTATGATTTGTTTGAGACCAACATCACCATTGCAGATATTGACCTCGTGCGAAGCATCTACCCAGGATCTTCGGTTCCCCCCCAGTTTCGGAAATACGTCTTTCAGATTTTGTCCTCGACACGCCTACCGAGTTCGACCATTCTGCTCGGTCTCTTCTATCTGGCCAGCCGCGTGCGCCTGTTGTCAGCCCAACGCGCCTTCACCAAGACAGACAGTAGCCAGGTCTATCGCATGTTGACCATGGCCCTTCTGTTGGGAAGCAAGTTCCTTGATGACAACACCTTCCAGAACAAATCCTGGGCTGAGGTCAGCAACATCCCCGTTGCTGAGCTGAACCACATGGAATTGGAATGGCTCTTTGCCTTCGACTGGAAGATTCACGACCGCATCTACGACAAGCAGGATGGTTTCGCCTCGTGGCGCACGCACTGGGACACCTGGCAGGCCAAGGTAACAGCTCGGGCCCAGGAGTCTCGCCAGTCTCTGGCGCCTCTGGAGACCAACGTGGTCCGTGGCCAGGGTGTCACCAAGCCCCTAATGTCCCCCGAAGGCCCCATCCCGCCGCAGTACCAGCGCAGCTCGCAAATTGAGAACTCCTGGCTCAACCCGACCGCGTCCGAATACTCGCCTCCCTCTGCCCTATCCAGTGGCCCCACTACCCCCGATTACTACTCGGTTGGCCCTTGGGGATACGCTAACCCGCCTCCGCCTCCGCCTTACTCGCGAGGCTGGAACGCACCATCACAGTACATGACTCACCCCGCACCTCGATCCCAGCCCCCGTCCTATCACCACACTCCAGCGTACGGCTTGCCATTCGCACAGAGTCTCTGGACGGGTCACGGTTCATCGTGTGGCTGCACCTACTGTGCTAAGCATCTCGAGCACTACATGTGCAACAATGCATTCCCCTCCATGCAGCAGCCGATGATCGCCACCTAGTTGATGATACTTGGCCTGGTCTCCCCTCGACCCCCGGATGCAAGAGACGGTGTCAACGGTTCAAGACTACATGTCTTGCTGCCTCTTTGGATTTCTTCTTACTGCAACTCTAGACTTCTTTCAACGTTTGTTTGGGCGACTCGCATGGGATTTATTTCGATACCGCTTCCTCTTCTGCCTGAATTGTTTCCAACCTTGCGCCTGGCGACCTTTTGCCTCGCTTAGCTTTCACCTGCTTCTGAGCAATTGGCCTACCGCGTCTCCAAAAAGTACCTTTGTTCTGCGTCCGCTGGTTCTCGTTTGGCAAAGCGAAAAAAAATCTCAAAAATGGAAAAAAAAAGAGGAAAAAACGCTCCCACAGCGGACATTGGCATGCTCCCGGCGCACTCGCGATGCAAAATCTCGACTCGACTTGTTATACTGATATCACTTTGATTTCACCAAGACTTTCAGTGTCATCGTCGGATCTTTCATCTTCCCACGGGTTGCCGGGGCCGCAGTCACGACTATCACGAATCCCCAAAATCTGACTTCTTTGTTTATTACCCACGACTTCGGTTTATATCCTTGGTCCTTTTGTTTTATGCTTGGCATTTGTGTCTCGCGGTGATTACCCATAGAGTGCTTTCTTTCTTCTTTTTACTTTCATTTCATCTCGGTACATTATTCCCATTCGCCATGCTACATGCTGTGCCTGACGTTAATCATTTTTTCACTTCTCATCTCAATTTTCAATTGTGCATTCACTTTTTTTTTTTTTCCTCTCGATTCCTTTGATTTGTTTTTATCTTTCTCTGACGAGCCCTCTCCAATCAATAAGATCAACAATTCAAGGATCCCCACCAACTTTTCTAAGCTGGATGATGTATTACATCACTCCCACATCTCTCTCACTCATGATAGATGGCAAATGATCGATAACGGTGTTCCCTTCTGCCCGTGACATCTTCGAATGTATCCGGGGGGTGTCGGTACCTTCCAAGGCATCTTCTATCCGATCTCATTCGGAGAGTCCAGTCAGTCCTCGCGACTGACATCTATGTAGTCTATTTGATTTGTCTTCCTTTTTTGGCTTGCTTCCATCTATGAGCCTTTTGCTATTCGGCGCTGTCGGGAATCCAGGCCGTCGCATTTCCTGTTCCCATTGGTTATACGTTGGCTTCTGGCATCCATGGCGGTGGCTGTTGATGCGCAGTTATTTAAAGATATCCCATTTAATTAGCGACAAACTATTGTCTTTGTCCGGACTACAAACTTTTGATGTTTTGTCGTAGGTCTCTTATCAATATCTCCCTCGTATCAGTATCTTCTGTTTTGAGTAGTGAGCCTTTCCTCCGTCCACATGTATCCGCTGGATTAATCTCGAGGATCTACGTGAGAGTTTCCTTTTGAATAATGTTTAATAACGAACCAAGAGCCAGATCTGATGATTGTTATTTTTGTGATAGAAATTGATTCTAGTCTAACACCAAAAAGAGCTATCAGGCTGAAAGAAGATATAGGTAAAAATGAAGTTGTACTAACTAGTGGGTAATCAAAATTCATCCAGACAGTCGTTGCGGGTCGTAAGGGTAGATATAGAGAAGGAGACAGGAACTAGTAAAGGAGAAGAAGTATGCAAACGTATAGAGCAATCAAGACATCAGCAAAAACAACCAGAACTGTATTAGTAAACGCTCCCTTCAATGCTCTGATCATGCTTTTGGTGCTCTTCTAAGGATAATTCCTCGATGTGGAGATGAGACGGGGAATCCGTTGACGAACTTTCTGGTCCTTGCGCCTGTGATTCTGAGTGGCTGGACAACTCGTCCCCATCGCCTAGGATATTGGCCATGCGGTGCTCAGATTGGTCAGTGGAAGAAGAAAGATGGTGTTGATGATAGTGGTGATGGTGATGAAGCAAGCGAGTTTTCTTCGATTTCTCGGTGCGATTGCCACCCATCTCGTCGTCGCCATCATCTTCGAGCTCCTGAGAGGGAGCTGGCCGTTGAGTTTGCTCGCTGGACGGAAACTCAAAGCGCTGCTGGTTCACATGAGAAAAATTGCCAGTGGCGAGGTTGGAGGGGGTTGATGAAGCGTGACGGTGGTGATCGTGGTCGTCGCCTTCATCGTCGGATGGGGCGAGGCTGTTTGCTCCGCTCATGGAGCCTCCACCGTCACGACCGCCAAGGTGGAGAAGGGCATATTTTAGGTGCGCTGATGCTGAAGATGTGGATGTTGGTGAATGGAGGAGATGGTCTTCACTATTTCGGTCCGGTCCGTGAAAATTCGGTCGTTTTGGATGCAATGGGTTCACGCTTGGCCGGGCTTCTGAGGAAGAATCGTATTGCTTCGTGGTGTCTCCGTTGTCATCGTGGCCAATTGTATGCTGCGGGTTGGAGACATGCCGAGCGTTGGGTTTGCGGCTGGTATCATTCTGAACCGCACTGTCTTCTGAGGACGATATCACCTCGTCGATAGATACAGATTTGTGAAGTTTGGAGCCAAAACTACCTGCATGATCATCCACGTGCTTAGCTTGAGCATAGCGATGCTCGTGACGCATGAGTAGATTTGCTCGCAACGATTGCTTTCCTTCTGCAGTCATGCCATGAGTACAGCCGTCGGGACAACCCCCCCACTTGCGCCGAATTGGAATATGGTCTGTGAGGCCGACATGACTAGTAGGCGGGATAGGCGAAGCGATCTCTTCTTTGGCTGCATTTTCAATATCTCGATCTTTTCGAAGATCTGACCAGGTGCGAAGCTTGTTCTGTAGTGTGTATTTGCCATTTTCTGGATTGTGGGTCAAGATAAGGAACTCGCAATGATTGATGTTGCGAAGGTCCTCAAAGTATTCCACGCTCCAGTGATACCACTTCATGAGAAATACTCTTGCCATGAGGCCGTGCGTAACAAGGACACAGACGTTTGCAAAGTCATCTTCGCCGAACTGGCGCCAGAGGGACTCGTTAAACCCACTCACTCGGTCATAGGCATCTGCTGCGGACTCGCCATTAGGAATCCGGTAGAAGAAATGACCGTAATCTGCCCGCTCCATCCACATGCGCTCCATCTCTGTGGAACATGGCTGGAAATTACCGAAATCTTGTTCCCGCAGCCGGGGTTCTTCATAAACTTTGATTGTATGTCTTTGGAAAGGCGAAGGAGAGGGTGTATCGGAGGTTAGGGATTCAATAATCCCCTCAGTAGTCTCTCTTGTGCGCCGATACGGGGAGGTAAAGAAGTGAAGTTTATCGTCGGGTTGGAGAAGGTCACGTAGTCGACGGCCTGCATCCTGGGCTTGTCGATATCCTTCGGCAGTGAGTTTCACACGGTGGTCTGGAATAGTTTGATGAATGTCGCGGTTTTTGTTGCCTTCTGACTGTGCATGGCGCACTAGAATGATCATCTATAAGTAGGAAATAGTCAGTTCAAGTCAAAAGACATCCCATTCTCTCAGAAATAGAGACTCACCCGTGGCTTCCCCATGGTGAAATGGTCATGGGGAACGTAATGGGCTGCGAATGCGGGGGAGGGGCTAGTAGAAGGATTCTATTTGTAGTAAAAAGGAAGATGAGGGAAAGACCATAAAAGATGAAAAGACCAGTGATAGTCGAAATATTAATCTATCTAAAGAAAACAGATTGGAAGAGAGAAGTCAAAGTAAAGAAAAATGTTCATTCTAGTCGGAGATACAACTGACCCGCACGGGCCAACGGCGGGTGATCCATTCAGCGCGCCTCTTTTACGCAACCTCCGAATAGCATCGACTCGCCATGGCCGACTTGCTGGAGCTACTCGCTCCACACCTAGATTCAACTCAATCGCATGATGTAACTACCGACAAATATCTCACTCGCCTCTCAACCTTGTCGCTCGAAGCTCTCCAGACCACAGAACCCCCATCGCTCGCCCAATCCTCCCACTCGACCCTTCTGTCCCTTCAAGCCCTATCGAACCGTTCACATCGAGCATTTGTCACCTCTGCAGATAATTTGTCCACGCTATGTACATCTGTTCCACAGTTGACCCGCGAGGCGCAACAGCTACGTGATGCTATCCCTAAACTCGACGAGGAGGCTGTCGGGTTCTCCACCAAATACAGTAAAATCAAAGACAATGCCGCCCTAGAACGACGGAAGAAAGCGATGCAGCTCTCTCGCAATGTCGACCGATTGTCAGATATCTTGGAACTACCAAGTCTGCTGTCCAAAGCCGTCTCCGCGGCCTCAGTCAACTCCGGTACCGGGGTCTCCTCTACAACCTACTCCTCTGCACTCGACCTACATGCACATATCAAGCGACTACAAACACTATACCCCGAATCTCCATTGATTCAAGATGTTGCATCCCAGGCGGAGGATGCTATGAAGGACATGACAAGTAATCTGATCACGGGGCTTCGAGCCCAGAACCTGCGGCTAGCAGCTGGTATCCGAACTGTGGGTTGGCTGCGGCGGGTAGCTCCGGATCTAGAGATGCTTCAGAGTGATGGGGCAGTTGGGACAGGAGAAGGCGCTCTTGGGGCCATCTTCCTGGTCTGCAGACTAGCGCATTTGGTATCGACCCTTGAAGCGCTGGATCCCCTCCGCGAGCTCGCAGACCAAGAAACCCAACGGAGACTCGGCGGCAAGGACAAATCAGACACGACTGCGTGGTCCGGCGGACAGCAGACTGACCGCTACTTAAAAAGATACATTGAGATCTTCCGTGAGCAGAGCTTTGCGATTGTCTCACTATATAAGAACATTTTTAACTCTGAGCAATCCGAATCCGAATTTGCCATCTCAGAATTACGAGGTGCAGACTCCCATTCCAAGGCCAAGTCAAAGCCAGCACACTCAGATGACCCCTTGCAACGTCTACCGCCGGCTTTGGCTACTTTCCCAATGCATCTCGTGCAATTGCTCACGGATACAATGCGTTCATATCTGCCCAATGTCCGAGATCGGAGCTCGAGGGAAAGCCTTCTCACGCAGCTTCTGTACTGTGCCGCAAGTCTCGGTCGTCTCGGCGGTGACTTTGGCCTGATTTTGACCGAGCTGAGCGGGGAGGAAGATACTGAAGATATGACCTACGAATGGGAAGAGGTCATGCGGAAACACCGAGCCTTGGCAGGGCGTCTGGAGCAATTGACCAGTCGGGTGCCAGTAAATTAACATTCATATACCCAAGTACAATGCCATTTCGAGATGACGGTGGCACCTAGCGGGGTCTATGTATAATAGAACATCATGAAGCGTTTTATTCTTGACCTTCTCGGCGGACTGTTGAATTGGCACTACCCACGTACGAGTACATCCCGATATTGTATATCTCATTTACCCCAAGGTTCCAGCTATGCTAGCAATACTTTATCGACTTGTCTGAGCACGTTACGGTACTCCGACCCAGTGCATACTCATAGGGTAGAGTGAAAGATCGATGAGCTCCTCGAATCATTGATTCTGATATTTTACAGCATACCTAAGCAGAGATCTGAGAAGAATGGTGACTCGAGCACCGTTGAAACACTCGGGAATGGACTACAATGAACAGTAACGAATTGTATGCCAGAGCGCACAGCAATCTGGGGGTTTCCATGCTTTGCTATCTAGATTCCAGCGCATTTGTATACTCTGCTGCTTATCTTTGCATTCCTAATAGGCCCTTCCTGTGAGATGTTCTCGGTCAATATCACCGGTGTGATAGTCGAGGTGATCTGAACCGCCGTCTTCGAGTTTTTGGTCGATTTGTCTTGCTTTAGTTGTCCCCACCGCAGTTGCTTGGGTTATCACTCATTCTAGCCACCTTCAGGTAGGTGAGTACACCGGTGTATGTGACATTTACATTCATCTGCATCGCAGTTAGTTTGTTTATCTAGCGGCCATTGACGATTTTCGAGCTACCCATGAAAGCGCCGCGGTGGGAACATGAGGCGATGGTATTTTCATGCTTTGCATGCCGTTCGAGTCAACTTCGTGTGGGTCCTAAGTTTGGCAATGTCCTTGCACAGACGAGCGTGGAACGATTTAGAACAAAAGGGTCAGTATTTAGCCAAGAGCTTGAAGGAACAAAGTCTTCTCCTTATCTAGTAGTTAGCACCAGGCTGACTACTAACTTTGATCTTGTCCACAATTGGCTAGCTCCTGTAGCCTCCAGGGCTCATTTACCGAGTGACTCACAAAGATCTTACGGAGGCCTGAGCAGCCTCACTGAAATGCAAGCCTATATAAAGTGAACATTTGGAATAAGTACAGTTATTCTACTTGAGACTTTTACAACCGGTCTGGGTTCTGTTCGTCATGATCCACTATAATCCGCTCACCAAAGAGCCCTATCTCCAACTCCCAGCACCATGTGCGGACATCATCATCACTCCACAACGTGAACACCAGATCGAGGAGACATCCGCTGTGATGACCGAGATTCTCAATGATTCACGCGTGTACTCCTGGCTACAAGGCCCACCCTACCCGTTCCTACCCGAGCACGGCGTGGACTGGGTCAAAATGAAGATAGCAGAATACAAAGATATCCTATCTGCTCTGCAAAAGGAATTCGAAATCTCAGAAAGCCAAGTACCGGGGGACAGTTCAAAGGGCCAAGAGCAACCCGAGTACTTCGATAAATGCCCTTTCGTTTGCATACGCGAAGTAACAGAAAGGGATCCTACGACAGGCGCTCCGCTTCAAGATGTCATGATCGGAGACTTTACACTAGCGCGGTATGCTTTCTATGAGTTGCGACCCGATAGCTGGGAGTTTGCGCTGCTGCAGAAGCATAATAATGATTTGCCTACGGGGCACAAGGATATCATATGGGGTTTAGGATGTATGGACACCCCAATGGGACTCAAGGTCAATTGCTAACAATATAAATAGACTATCTTTCTCCTACTCGGCATAGCCGGGGACTTATGAGTGCAGCTGTTCGAACTATCATTCAAGACTGGGCTATCCCTCGGATGAACCTTCATCGCCTCAAAGGTAGCTTTTATGTTGGAAACATAGGGAGCATGAGAGTATTTGAGAAGAACAACTTCGTGGAAGCCGGTATCTTCAAGGACTGGGCTTCAACAAACCCACTCAAGGGACTACAAGAGAAGATGTCAATTGCTGTGATGGAGTGGAAGGGGCTTTTATAGGTACTATTAAGCAATATCGTTGCTTAGGAAAAGCTTGTTCAAGGCGCACCTAGGCAGTTGTTCCATGTTGGAATTGCTGGGTACGGAGTATTCCTTGCTCCTTAGTATATACCAATGCCAACCTCACAGGGACGGAAAACCCCCCGAGTCTTGCAGTCTCAATCAATAGTTATAAGATGCCGATCTTAATATCACGCAGGCACAGACCTACCTAGTACATCAGTAGTGAAGAAAATAGTTAAGTGGCCCTATAGTTAGTTAGTGGGTCTTGGAAATCCTCTGTACACTTCAATAGAACACGAGACACTAGTATAATTCCTCGGGAGAGAGACGGTGCATACTCGACAATTGACATATCGAGTTGATGCATGAGGGATCCTCATGGCACTTTCCTAGTTAGCGTTGAGCCAAGACAAATAGTGACCAAACTCGGAAAAGCTGAATCTATTCAGCTCTTGGAGATTTGAAGATCTTTGTCACGCTAATGGCTCCACTTGACAATAATTGGCCAAGTTCGACTTTCGACCTCAGCTTTCAGCTTTGTGGAAATAATCTTCTGCACTGGCAAGGGTCATCTGCATGTCGGATGCTACGGAGTAGTTCTAGGACTATTATTAATTGCTTTATATTGCTTTATATTACCCCGTCCGCTCCTTACTCGCCCACTTTAAAGTCAAATTTGCCTACGGTTAGCCATTTGAAATATGGGCTAATAAACCGACCCAATGATTTCTGTGCTTGATACGAGCTCAGCTACCCCCCATATCTCTCGGGTTCTTTAGTACTCCGTATAGTTACCAGAGTTAATTGAAATTCACTCTCAAATAACCCATGATTGGATTTAACTGTGTCTACTCTATAGACCCATCCCATCCCTCTGAGGTCAACTGGTCAATAAATTCGACGTTTCATTACACACCCTTCACTTCCATCTTAATCACTCAACATATTGTAGGCCGTTCCGTTCGACTTTTTACGTACTACCCTGTACGGAGTACCACCCTGCATGGATATGCTGGATTTTCCACAAATGCCATCCTACAAATTGGGCAATGATAGAGTAGAGTAATAAGGCGAGGGATACAGGATGCCGATTGGAATGAAGCGAGCTCAAAGAGACGCATGGCTAGTCCTTGCCATGGATACTACAGGGCAGACCCATCTGCTTGTACAACATATATCTTATGTGCATGAATTGAATAGCGCTGTAAATCGCGAGATTGGAATGTCAATCCTCCTTGGCACATTCTGGTATGTTAATATATAAATGAGTCTGTCTCCTCCTTTCGGTAAACTCACAGAGCTCACCGGGACACACATTTCATATTCACCATGCATCTCTCAACTATAAGTGCGCTTCTTTTGGTTGCCCTGGCAGAGGCCGCGCCCTACGCCATTCCTAACAGGCAGCGCACAAAAAAGGTCAGTAGCCCTGGCACCTTTTCTCTAAATTCAAATTGTATAAGTATCAATGCTCATGCTTCATAGGAGCCGGATTACCCCAAAAGATGCTACCCCGACCCCTGCAAAGGAGTGACCTATGTGAACTCCACTGCAATTTGCGGTGACCCACGACTTGGTCCGAAGAACCTCCCTGGATTCTTCCCTCTCTCCAACGAGATCGCGACATACTCCCGCTTCGGCGAGCTCTGCCCAATCGAGTTCTTGGAGAAATGGACCGTGAACGCTTCCGACCCAAGTGGTTATTGGATCTATCCAGAGAACGACGGATTCGCCCTCACCACCGAAGATGAGTCTATTTTGGGGACTTTCACACTCCAAGTGGGTCAGAAGCTTGATAGATTCGGATCTGAATATGGAAAGTTCCTGGCACCTCTTGGAGCCCCATATATCGAGCGATCCCTGCCACCATCCAATCTTTTCGCGCCTCCCAAAAGCAGCGTCCCGTACAACTACCATGTCTACGAAGTGATCAAGGAATTTGATATTCTCTTGGGACCCATTGCGCCTTGGTTCGAGCAGCCTGGCTTTGGATCGCAGATTTTGGCTCCGTCCAGTGTGATGAATCTGCTGGAAGGGGGATTCTTGAAAAGATTGGAATTGGCAGACTATGATGAAGCTGATGAATACTCTGCGGGTTATCTGCCTGCTCCCCCCAAGCAGTCTTCCACCTAAGTATATCTTGGGGATATATGTCACGGAGCAAGATGGGGGATTGTTTTCCGGGCATTGAGTTCTCTTTCTTGCAGTATATACTAGTTATATTTTTAATAGCCAAATGTAATGCCACTCATAGCCTTTGGGCATCCATGCCCTACAGCTCTGCGAAGAACGGAGCTAGTCAAAGGGACTACAATTCTTAAAATGAACAAAGCAAGGTTAGGGTTAAATGATCAGATACGATGAAAATAGTGTTAAAATATATTCTAAGCGTCGAGCTCCCAGCCTCAGAATGGTATAGCATTACTAATCTTCTGATTTAGTTTGACAGGGTATCCTAACATGCTACTATTTGTTAGTCTGGATATAAAGAAGCAGGACAGCTGAACATACTCCTTTCCAGTTTGAGTGCAGCCGCAACCACAGAAGATCGACAAGGGGTAGCAGAAGATCTAGAAAAAAAAGATTTTTATAAGCCTGGAACCAAGCAGGGGAGTCTTCATCTGTAACTCGAGAAGAACTATATCTACTTACTGCTGCCACAACGGTAGTAAAGAACCCTGTTCATTTCGTCAGACATGGGCTCGTCTCTCGGCGGTCATATCAAAGAACCAAACTTACCGAGTGTCGGTCCAACCACCTTACAATGACATGGATTCTGATCAGTGTTGCATTGGAAGCAGATGGGGAAGATGGGGAAGAAAGGCATGTCGCACATCGTATCTGGTTTGGCTGAGCTGAGTGTTGGACTAGAATATGCAGAGAGATACCCTGGCCTTCATCCAGGCAGATTATCAGGAGCTTCCCCGGACGGAGGATTCACCGCCCAGTTACGTCGTAGTCGTGAGTGTGGGATTCTATAATGATGACGCAGATGAGATCGTGATCGTGATCCACCGATCATCCTGTTTTAGGTAGTAGTGGGGAGTTTTAGTTCACAATACAAAGTGATCTTCATGGTGATAATAACGATAACATATATTGAACCCCTCCAAATTAGATTAATTCTAGATCTATACCTTTTAGATGAGGGTCTTTCAGGCTAAAGTTAACCTCAAAAAGCCCCCGGGCCAGGGCCGATCAAAACTTACTCATCAAGTGGCCATGGTAGCCACAACACAGCCACGATGCGTGTCATTTCCCCTCGAATCAAACGTCACTTTCAACTCTAAAAAGGACCTGAAGGGGAACTGATGAAACGTCTCAAGCCCCTGACTTCCAGATCTCATATTCAGCCTTCTCTGGAATTTCAACGGCATTCCTGTGCATCCAGATCCACTCCAGGCAGCAACAGTGCCTAGAAAAGATCAGGCTCCAACTATTTTGCGAGACACCTTGTTCTTGGCATCTAGTCCAATTGTTCTTTTTTTTCCCCTGCGCCATTTTCTTCTTTTGATTCCAACCTAGTCCTCGGATCATCGTCTCGCCTTCCTCACATTTCAACATCCCGATTTATTAGACTTACATCATCCGGTACCCCGATAAACGACCCCCACCATGGGCGCCCGCAATCTCGTTCCCCTCATCCTGCTCCTCCTCTTCGTTGGCATCGTTGCCGCGGTCGGATATGTCGTCTACAGCATCATGCAGGATGTAGGCAAAAACACACGCGAAAAGATGGAGCGCAAGAATATTGCTTTCACCAGGGACGGCATGAAAGTGCAAGTAAAGGAGGTCAAAGACGAAGCCTATAAGGACCAGACCCAGAGGTGCGTTTTGTGTTCTTCTGTTCCCCTTGTTTATTCGCGCCGACTGACCCGCTCTTTTCCCCATAGCGTTCTGTACAACATGTGGAACCACACTTCCTTCCCCGCTTACAAGAGCCGGCTGTGGGATATGGCTGGCTCATCTTCGTCCGAACAAAAGAAGGCCGAAAAGCGCAAGTAGTACGTCGGACCTGCATCCTTTTCGATTATTCTGGTTCGACCGGACTGACTCGTTCCGCAGATTTCGCAACAATTATCTTCTCGTGGATTTACACTGGACATATTTTCTGCTTCTATCCCAATTCCATCTACAAGTTTCATTGCATGCTCTAGTCCCTGGCAAAGGGCTGGTTTCCAAAAATTGCGTGTATTTCGGCTCCGAGGGATAAACTTCTTTAACATTTCCACATTCTTGTTGATACCTATTTCTGATTCTCTTACTTTATGGTTCTGGCAAAAGCTTCATGAATGATGGCAGGCCCCTGATATATGATCTTACCTTCCATTTCAAACCTGCAATCACTATGCATCGTTCATTCACGTAAATCAACATGGGGTTCTAATCTTGATTTTGCTTCGAGATCGCCTGATTTAAGTTGTTCGGTGTACTGCATATTAACAAATTAAGTTTTAGGTTGGTGCCAATTAACTGGATTGGATTCTGATGGCCCTGGAAATAAATGTACTAGGCATCGTTCTAATCTATTGAACTGATACAGACACCATAGAACGGGAGATCCGCATTTCTAGCCGGATATCTCAAGGATCACTCCTCGATCTTCCACTATAGTTGTATTATCACTCTAGTAACTCTCCATCTTCGTCCTTTATGTTTTAGCCTTAGTGTGGGCCTAGCGACGTACATAGTAGCTCATCCTGGTTCAAAAGGAAGAACGGCTCTGGTTCCGGCTGCACACTACCACCATACCAGGTCGGCTTAATCAACTTCTTGGGCGTATCATCTCACCGCTTGTTGGTGAAAGCCATTTCCAAAGTCTTGGCCCACTGGACCCTGTTGTTCAAGCCCTCGAGCCCCCACAGCTCCTGCAGGAAGTGCAGGATTGGGCTAAGGCGTAGGCCGACTTATCGGCGTACATGGTACCTTGATCGTAGATGAGAAGATTAGCGGGTACCCAGGGCGAGATTATGAAGGCAGGGATACTGCGATGAAAGGTTAAGCAGAATATTTATATGACAAAGCTCGGGTTAAGATTAAGATGCATACTAGCCTCCCAGACGTATGAAGTCGTACGTAAAATAGTGGTTTGATGACATGCCTCTGAAGATGATATGTTCTTCGGGTTGAGGCACGGTGACTGAAGTGGGGACATGGTCTGCAAACCCTCCATGTTCGTCAAAGTTGATGATCAAAACACTGTATTCGAGTGCTAGTATTGCCTCATTTAGCATGGGGAGAACGGAACTGGTGCATTGTTCCAGTACTTAGAGCGACGTAGGGCATTATACAGGTGCTTGGCCATCTACTCTCCTGCTGCCATGTTGCTTGTAGGATGCATCGAGTCAACTGTTCAGCGTTCTGGATTCAGGTACGAGAATGAAGGCATGCCAGATTCCAGGTCATGGTATAGCTCGGTTGCATGGAGTCGGTCCATTGCGTTGTCTTGCACCCACTTGAGATTATCATTCGCCGAGCTGATTCGGTCTCCAACATGCAGAAACAAAAACCTACATAAATTAAACCGTTTTAGGAGCTTTAGGGGTGATCTAATATGCTGATATGCTAGCCCACGTGGTGACGGAGATTACGACTAAGCTATATGAAGTAATCTTGATATTAACCCCTCTTCCAGCCAACGGGTATAGTTTATACACGTGAGTCGTGGGGAGTCCGTGATTGTAAATGGCAGCTTCTGGTTGGTCTCAGAGCTCAAGTCAAGCACCGGGAGTCCCTCAAAGAGATCCACAAGGCTCCACACTAAAGATGGTCCTCGAATCAGCGTTGCACGTGCCCTGTCCATGAGGGGAATGCCAAGCACGTTGTCTTCCTGGTTCATTCGATAGGCTGTACGGAGTAAATGGGAGACTTCTTTGTCCAAAAGGCAGGGAAAACGCTCATGACTGCAGCGCGTGATCTAACTGGCTAGCCTTGCATCCCTCGCTTTCACTTAAACATTCCCTTCCTTTCAAGGGATGCATTTTGTTTCTTCAATCCCTCCAACCTCACCATGTCAATCAGTTCCGTGACCGGCCTCATGTCAAGTTATATGCCCCTCTCCGATCGCAGTCCTTCGGATGAAAAGGACCCTTCACAACTTCGACCCGATGTCGAGGCCGGTAAAACCACAACCCGCGATGACTCGGAGCGAAAACCTTCGCGCTTCATCGACGGTCGCACCGTGTCCGATGCCATCATCGGTCTTTCCGATGGCATGACGGTGCCTTTCGCCCTAACGGCTGGATTGTCGGCACTGGGCGATACCAAAATTGTTGTTTTCGGTGGACTCGCAGAACTCATCGCAGGAGCTATATCGATGGGACTCGGTGGGTATCTAGGTGCGAAAAGCGAGGAGTAAGCCTATCTAGACCCTAAAACCTATCTCTTATGCGAATACGCCAGGAGGGCTTCTGGGGATTTGAAAGCTGACATGTTTGTAGGGAGTCATACAAAGCTACATTGAAAGAAACAAAGACGCAGACCATGACAGATCCCGCCTCTGTGTCAGACACCATCTCCGACATCTTCGAGCCCTATGACTTGCCTTCTGAACTCGTCGCACAACTCAAAAACCATCTCTCCGATTCTCCTATGCTTCCATCTTTTCTCATGAACTTCCATCACACTCTGCCCGAACCGTCAGGCTCGAGGGCTATCGTTTGTGCTTTTACAATTGCCCTGGGATACTTCCTCGGTGGATTCATTCCTCTCATCCCATACTTTTTCGTCGGACCCAATGAAGCCTTCATCGCCCTGCGGTGGTCTATTGCCACCATGGTCATTGCGCTCTTTATCTTCGGATATGTAAAGACATGCTTTGTCAGTGGCTGGCGTGGTCGTCGAAATGTCCGTAAGGGTCTCATTGGAGGTATACAAATGGTACTGGTTGGTGGTATCGCCGCTGGTTCTGCGATGGGGCTGGTGAAGGGCTTCCAGATGCTGGCTGGTGGGCCTGAAGACAGCAAGCATGACTGAATGGCCATCGAAATTTCTTTCCCGTTTCACGGGTTTGGCGCTGGGCGGCTTTTTACTATGCTTGATTTGCGACGATACATCGGCTGGCGTTTGGGTTTATTTCCTCTTGATTTACAAACTGTCCAACTAAAACAGAATGAGGACTTGAACACAGTTCCTCAATTGCTACTTTCCTCCTAGTCAATGATTCCAGTAACAATATAGCGGCCATGAATACTAGGATCCTGTTTCCCCATGATATTGTCAGTCCTAACATCACCAAGTGTAAAAACTGTCGCCAAGCACCAGAGGAGAGCGAAGGAGAACGTTCTATGCCAGTCCTTCCTGCTTCCCATGAAGCAAATCCTTCTGCTTCTTGTAACTTTCGTCTTTGCTATTCACTATCGCTTCCTTTTCTAGCGCCTCCAGAAGATCAAGCACGTAGTCTTGGCAATTCCACCCCCGAATCTCATTGTGAACGGTGACTTGACTAGCGACAGTCTTGATAGTGTTGGTTTTGGCGACGTCCACATCATAGAGAGGAAGCAACTCCACCAGTTTTTCCGATTGTCGGACATCTCTTGTTTCCAGCTCATAGCGGAACCGACCATCTGATCCCGTCACTTGGAGCAAAACTTTGTCTTCGTCTCGGGGCGCATTGATGAACACACCCCAGTGTTTGTAAACACCATCGCTGTTGCTGATGGAGGCATATATTGAAACCGACGACATATTGAACGCAGTGAATGGCAAGGTAATGCTGTGGGTTCTTGATCATTTGTATGAGAGCAGTATTCCTTGGCTGTGCTTACTCTGATATGTGGAGTGGATATAAGGCTTTGGCATGAAGTGGTAAGGAAGATGGTGATTGCATGCACAATATATATATCAAATCCTTTTCTGTTCAGCAGATGCAGACTCTTAAGATAAGCGCCATGCATGAGGCACAAGTCTCAATAGGTATAATCAGGTCACATGTCAGCGTATATAGCAAGCCTATACTTGGAAAAGCACACGACCACCAGGGTGTGGACCCATAAAAATTTATTTCCTATTTTTTTTGGGTCTCGAAACAAGTTGTCACCTACTCCGTACCATATATATATACTTATCCTGGTGGCCCGATAGAATAGTTGATTACGTGAATTACAGCTTGACTTCATATCTATAGCGCAGCTCTTTGCCACTGCATATTAGCATTGAAAATGAACGCCGCGTATAGGTATTAGCCAGGCTTATTGCATGCTCAAAGTACCGGGAATTACGCGACAGGCAAGCATATCACAGGCATTTGCCAATACCCTTGTCCGAATGGGGAGAAGGCTTGTTCTCGAGGGTTTCCCTAATAGACTTGGTGTGGCTATTATAAGACTTGACGGGGAGTATAACTATGGCCTGTTCCGACCTTTGGAGCACGAGTCAATGTTTGAATAATAAGGTCACGACGAAGTATATCATCTGAATCGGCTACTATTTTTAGTTTCGAAACAGCGCCTTCCTCGAAAGCTAGATTTATAAGTAATGATGTCAAATGCACATGGGCAAGACTTATGTAGTCATACCCCGCTGACCGCATCGGGTTTGCGGGGATGTAAGGTGATGGCCCTGGTAGGATCTACGACGCAGAAACGTCGATCTTGGTATTGCGGATCAGGTGAGCACGGGTGTGTCAACGGGAATTAATTATTGTGAAAGGCCATTAATATGTGGAATGTCACCCCGTGCGATACGAAGGGCTCAAAGAGTTAGGCAGCGACCTCACCGAGTCATAGAATAAGCAGCTTAGAGATATCTCATTCTTGACCTGCACCCAAGCCCCGATGAGGTTTAGGAAGGCGTACCAAACCTCCCTGTTGGGATATTACAACTTGACTTCATATCTGTGGCGCAGCTCTACACATCAGCCTTGCATCATTTCTAAGCTTGAACCCACATCTAGGCAGCCGCCCCCCAGACACGAATACGAAAGTGTGCTGTCGTATTTGAAAGATGAATACATAAACTAAAATAAGAAATAAGTCTTGGGATATTTAGGCAACGTTATAGAATCACATACACAAGTGTTACCCCGTACAGCTTACGGAGCAACAGCTGCCTATATTGTACAATGCCTAGGGAGCTTTGACGCTAGATAGATAAAAGTCAAGAGGTGATTGGCTGCGGTCGCGCGACACTTGAATTCTGAAACGCATGTGTACCACCCCCAAGGGGTGGAAAGTATATTCAATCACAGCTGTGCCGTCTTTTTACGGCAGAGATGCTGTACACTGTTTATATCAGGAGGCTGGTTTATCCCCTGAGGGGTTAGCCGTTATCCCCTGAGCACAGGGCATTAGATAACCTGCACATCCTCATCTAAGCGCTGGCCCCATGTAAAACGGCCCTAATGGTGTGACGTTTTCTCCTAACCGGTTTAGACTGGTCAAACTGGGACTCTCGAGTGTTGATAGTGTGTGGCTTGGGGCTGAGTCTTAATGTCATAGAATATAGCAGCTAGACGTTAGCCGTTAGTTGATAGCCTCAATATTAGTGTTTTGAATCACCAGGACGACGGTTGAGCTGGTAAGGATATTACAAGCTGTGCATAAGCGAAATTAGGGAGTTCTGATGTTACTGGGACCCGACGATGCCAGTGGGGGCGAAGTAAAGGCAGCCAATCAGACCCCGACGATGGATCTTATATGGAAAATTTGCGAAAATTTACGTTCCAGCTGTAATTTTGATCAATATTACGGAGTATGTAATATTTAATTTTAACCTTGGAACCTTGGAAAGTTGAAGACGCAAGTCGTTAGGTCACTAGTTTAGTATATTCATAAACTATATAAAAGTTAAGAGCATCACGGATTATAAATTGTAGAGATATTATCGGGAGTCCCGGAGTCTTCTGCATAAAAAGACTAACATGTCGGAGCATTGGCATCACAAAGTCCGAGATGTGCCCACGGGCAGAAATGTGATCTCCGTTCTCCGTTCCGTGGCTTCCGAGTCAAATTATTTGTATTATTAAATACTGCCGAGGGCTCCGGTCAGAATTGCAATGACATCTGGAGATAGATGACTAGAGATACTCAAGTGCTTCAAATGTTATACTCTGCACATCTGAAGAAGGAAAAGAAGATAAAAAAAAAAGTAAAATGCCCAACTCCATACTAGTGACGCCATACATACCTACAATAGGACTAGTAGACACATAGCATAGTGTAATTAAAGTTGTAATACCAGGAAAATTACACCTAAAATTTAGATATTGGTAAATACGAATACGCTCAATACTTCAGCCCATGGGTGAAATCCAGGTCTTTTCTTCCCCTTCTTCCCATCTCTTCTTTAATTAATATTCTCCGTTCCAGGGCTTCAAGTGGTCTCCTTGGTTTTCTCGAGTTCTGTCTATCCTGGGTTTTCTCGGTTGCGCCCTTTTTCTCCTTGCATCCCGACCCTTGTCAACGTGACCTCCTGAGTTCCCTGGGACGCCCCTCGACCCTATTCTTCGCCTCCCTATCGGTCCATCTCAACTTTTGATGAGCCTTTCTTCCGGCTAACGATAAACCTCCTTCCGCTACGCGAATTCCTTCCGTCTTACCCCGCGGAATTCCTTCAACTATCCCTTTTCCACGCGATCCGGAGTCTCCTGGAGGAGAATCGTAAATATGAGCGCCTCCTACCCGTCATGGAAAGATCGCACGCAGAATCAGTTTGGAAAGCTTCAAATCCAAATACCATGGCGCTCATTCCAGCTTTTGGTACCACATCGCATGCGTCGCAAGCTCCGGTCCAAACTCCGTAGCCGCCTCTCACCCACCTCGTCCATCTCGAGATTGCAAACCTCCTTCTCGCCTGTCGACACCCTCAGATCCTTGCAATCACACCGATGGACAATGTACGACTTCCAATACTTGTTGCTCCTCATCATCGGCTTTTTCTCCTTGACAATTATCCAGTCTCCTGGTCCACTGGGAAAGACGGCGATTGCCACCGGACTTCTGTGCTCTCTCCTCATGCCAATTACCCGCCAGTTTTTCTTGCCTTTCCTCCCCGTTGCTGGGTGGCTTATCTTCTTCTATGGATGCCAGTAAGTTGTGCTTCCCGTTGAGTTTCCTTGTAACCAATGCGCCTGCCAAGTCCTTGTGGCGTGAGCGGGATGTGCGGGGATGTGGACGCGACACAGGATGGGAACTTGGCTAACATATGTTTCTCTAGGTTCGTTCCAAGCGATTGGCGGCCTGCCATTTGGGTCCGAGTGTTACCAGCCATGGAAAACATCCTGTACGGTGCCAACATCAGTAACATTCTATCCGCCCACCAAAATGTAGTGCTTGACATTCTGGCATGGATTCCCTACGGACTCTGCCATTACGGAGCGCCATTTGTCGTTTCACTGATCCTTTTCTTCTTCGGTCCCCCGGGAACTACCCCCCTGTACGCTCGGACTCTTGGATACATCAGCATGACCGCGGTCTTCGTTCAGTTGGCTTTCCCATGCTCGCCACCCTGGTATGAAAATCTGTATGGTTTGGCCCCGGCCGACTACTCGATGCAGGGAAACCCAGCTGGTCTTGCTCGCATTGACAAGCTGCTTGGTATTGATCTCTACACCTCGGGCTTCAAGCAGTCCCCTGTTGTGTTTGGAGCATTCCCTTCGCTCCATGCTGCCGACTCCACCCTAGCAGCATTGTTCATGAGCCACGTCTTCCCGCGATTGAAGCCCCTCTGGGTCACCTACACTCTATGGATGTGGTGGGCTACCATGTATCTTTCTCACCACTACGCAGTTGATCTGGTCTGCGGTGGCCTACTTGCCACAATTGCCTTCTACTTTGCCAAGACCCGATTCCTGCCGCGAGTCCAGGCGGACAAGATGTTCCGGTGGGACTACGACTACGTTGAGATCGGTGACTCTTCTCGCGAAGGAGGGTATGATCTTGCTAGCTTGGATGGCGACTTCAACTTGGATAGCGACGAGTGGACCGTGGGCTCTTCTTCGTCCGTTTCCTCCGGGTCACTGAGCCCCGTGGACGATCATTACACCTGGGAAAGCGAAACTCTCACCTCGAACCACGACATCGAGGCTGGACGCTAATCCTCGAGCCTCATTTACACATGTGGCTCGGCACAGTCCATTCTTGCATCTCCTGCTTTCAAATCGGCGTTTTATGTTTGACGACAATGTTTGGGAACATTATCTGCATCGAGCAATTTTTCGGCCCCTTAAGGTTTTTTAATAAACCTCCGGTTCGCGCGGTACTTCCGCCTCGAGCTGAAGGTACACTTCACCTTTGGCTGTACATGCCTCGTCACCCCACTTTGGGCTGACAACTCCGTCTATAATATTAATATCAGTGACGGGAGGGATCGGGTCTTGTTCACCTGCCTGTATTCACCAATCCCCCCCCGGCACCGCCACCTTTGGCAACATTCGCTTGTACACATTCTCGGACGCCCTCGGGCGATCCCCTTTATTTTTTCTGACCCATGTCTCTCGCTACGACTTTATGAACTGGACGAGCCACCTTTTTTTTTTTCTTCGGCTCGTCCAGATGAACAAATATTTTTTTACCATTCGTGTCGCTCGCTCATCATCGCTCATCATCGGCGTCTGGGAACTTTAAACTGTTTTTTCGGAGAGATGAAAAGTTTCGGCGCATTCTTCGGCGCTTTTTGCTGCACCACCACTCGCTGTGCACTAGACGGATTTTTGAATACTGGCTGTTTTACGACATTTTGCATCGGCA